GAGTAGCCTAATTAGAGGTGAACCTGGATAAACCAAAGTGTCTTTCATAGTCTTTCCTTAGTCATATTATTACTAGTTTGCTTGCGAATTAATTTTCATAAAATAGATTATTAGAAAACTCAATTCAAACCCCTTTTTCTTGTGTTTTTCTCACCCTTCAAAATATTTAGAAGAGTTGCAATCAAACTATCACACACATTTTTCTCAACGTGCATCACATCAAGATAATGTCTAACATCAAGACTTGACCAATATGGAAGATAAAAAAACACAGACCTATTTTTCCATATATTTTCTCAACTGACCCTTTTTCTTTTTCTCTCTTTCTGAAGACAACATTAATGTGTTCATGTCATTGATAAACTTCATCCCTGATTAAAGGTTTAGGAGCCATAGAAAACTCTTGCTCTCCACTAAAAGCCTTATACAATCTATGATAAGGATGAACGCGTTTTAGAAATTTTTGATGCCCAAGGTAAACGGTCTTTTTTCCAAACTCAAGTTGGTGATAACAGGTATCAAATTCACATATAGGACACAATTTATGTCCTTTGACACTATAGCCATCCAAATTACAACAAGCAGGAAAGTCGTTGATTGTGCAAAATAACATTGCACGCATCTTAAAATTTTTCCCAGAATATGCATAATCAACTTCAACGCCTTTATACCATAAAAGTCGTAAATATTCAATTAATGGAGCAAGATAAACATTTATGTCGTTACCAGGTTGTCATGGTCCAGAAATCATCATACTTAATAAAATATACATGCGCTTCATGCATAACAAAGGAGATAGGTTGTAAATAGTGAGCAGAACAAGACACGAAGAATGATTAGTGCTAAGATTACCAAAGGGTTTATTCCATCAGTGACAAGTCTAAGCCTAAGGTTTCTTGGCTTAATTCCAAAATCTGAAAACAACAAATCACTTTTCTTCCATTGCAAAGAATCAACTACATGGCAAATGTTTCAATCACGTTACCTTTCATCTGTATGCCATCTAATATTCTTTACATCATTTGAATAAGCAAAAAGTCTCTTAAATCGTGAAATTATTGGCAAGTACCATAACACTTTAATAGGAGGATGCTTCTTACTAACATTTTCATAGTCATTGTCATCACCATTGTTGGAATTCAGCTTGTAACGCGACACACCACATTTCAGATATTTTTTCAAGTCTTCGTACTCTTTCTTGTATAATATGCAATCATTAAGGCATGCATGTATTTTGATATAATCCAAATCCATTGGACACAATATCTTCATGGCCTCATAACAATAAACCAACAAATTGTTATCTTCTAGTAACATTTGCTTTAGCAAATCAAGTAATTCCATGAAACTTTTATCTGACCATTCATTTTTCGCCTTCAGATTAAACAACTTTAACACCGCAGACAATCGTGTAAAACTCGTGCATCCCTTATATAAAGGCGTGTCTTTATCACTATATAAAGTATCATAAATATGAGCATTCTTAAAAGAATATTCTCCAATATCACGGGACATATCCTCTAGTCTATCATCCATATATTCATCTTCATCCACTCTTTGATTTTGTGACGCCCGACTTCCCTCATTATCCACCTCACCATGCCACATCTATATTGTATAATTTTGACATATACCAACAACACACATGTGATGAATATTTCATCATTTGTACCTTTACGGATATTCCCACATTTAACATAAGGACAATAAAAGATACCATTATTTCTAGGAATATTTTTATCAGCATATTCAAGGAATTCGTGAACTCCATTCTCATAAACTGAACCTAATCTAACGACTTTCATCCAACTAAGGTCCGTAACAACTTCTGAAATTTATACACGAATAATAATGTGAATGACACACCAAAATCTAAACAAAAAACTATAACTCTAAACCTTAAGCATATGAATAGAATATTTTTGTTCACTTCTATATCCAACATAATAGCTAACAAACGAAATATATATCTATCAAGAACAATATATAATATTGAACACAAGAGAAATATTCAGGGGAACAAACATAACAACTAATAAACTGTATATATGAACCAAAAACAATATACAACATTGAATGAAAAAAGGATTGAAAACCGAAGATGAAGAGTACTGTACTTCAAAGATGAGGACGAGAACAAGAATGAATATATTGAAGATTTGCGACTTAAATGAACAAGAATGAATATGTTGAAGATTTACGATTGAAGATGAGTACTATTGTCGTCTCTGGTTGGCTTGTTCGCCTATGGCGTTTTATGAAAGAAAGGGGGATTAAGTTGTTTCAATTTATCAGTAAAATCTTTGGTCACGGTTAAACACTAGAACTGTAGTGGAATTTTAAACAATCTAACAACGGTTAAGTCAACCACCGTAGTAACATCTCTTTTATTTTTTATTTAAAAAAATAATAAAGAAAATGCGCTCCTTAATGTTAAAGGAATATATCATTTGATGGAGTCGAGGTTCGAACCCAAGAAAGCTTGATTGTATAACCACGGTTATGAAAACAATGATTATTATATTCAAACAATTTTTAATAAAAATAAAAAAATGTTAGCGCCTGGGTTTAGATATGTCACCACGGTGTTGGGAAGAACCGTGGTGAATTGAGCGTTGTTGTTTGAACGTTTTGTAGTAGTGAAATGGTCACTAAAGATGTGGCACAATATCTCAATGAATTTATGTTTATGATTGGGGTATCAGGTGATGCTGAGTCTATTTTTCACAGTTCCAACACGGTGTTAAGCAAGAGACACAAACATGGTTCTTTGGCTATGTCCACTGTAGATTTTTCGAATGTTTTTAACATGGTAAATTGACCAGATCTATTGAGCGAGGTGAGAGTGAGATGCCCATCTATCTCTTTGTGGATTGAGTTTCTTTATGGCTAAGCAGCAGGTTTGTACCTCGGGGATGAACATATTATGTCAGCCACCGGAGTGCAACAAAGGTGACCCGTTAGGGCTGCTTCTCTTTGCTCTTGTGTTACACCCACTCATTCATCAGGTTAGAGACAATTGTAAGCTTCTTCTTCATGTCTGAAATCTTAATGATGAGACTATTATAGGGGTTTGAGTTTGTACTCGACAGTAGAGGCTTCCTTATATACTTTTCTGGCTTCTAGGGCCCAATCTTGGGTGTTACTTAAATTAAGAGACAGTGGGGTGTATGGTATAGACTCATATGTTGACAGAGATTTGGATGGTCTTAGTGTTGTGATTCCAGATTTTTACCGCAACAATTTTATTAGCAAGGACACCATCCCTCCTAAAGCACAACATGTTTTGTCGAGTGCTCTTTTTAGTAAAATTGTTAAGGACATAGATGTGAAGTTTGACATGACCACATCGCAGAAGACAATTTTTGATTATTTGCAAGCCGCGCATGCTCAAGACTTTCTCCTTGCTATTCCTATTGATGGGCAATGCTAACATATGTCGTTGGTAGAGTACCATACTATCTTAAGATACCGCCTTATGATTCCTTTATTTGCTATTGATGAGGTTGCCCTGTTTGTTGTAATGTGTGTTTGCATTTGGGGAACACAAAATTCATTGTAGGGAGCTTCCAGACTTCAAATATTGCATGACCTTGTTATGGATGTCCTGATTGATATATTTCAATGTGCCGGAGTATCTGTGAAGAAAGATCCGCTTGTGAATTTTTTTACTGACCCACTTGATGGAAGATTAACACTTAGGCTAGCAGATGTTCAGGTGTACGGGTTGATAGGAGGGAAATATGCTTGTGATGACTTGACTGGAGTTTTCCCACTGGTGGGAGTGAGAGCTGGTGATTTTCCTATGGGACAACTACTTCAAGTAAAGTGGTCAAACATGAAAAAGCGTGTTCTGACAATCAACAACTTTTATACCATTTGTATTTGACACTTTTGGTTTTCTAGCACCAAAAGTAGTTGATCTTTTACAGAGATTTCAAAGGGTTATGAATATCAATGTTGTATCTCTTAGATTTATGATGTAATTTTTAAAAGAATTTATTTTGTTATCTAAAAAAGAGTAGCAGTGCAACTTGTTGCCCGTTTGCTTTCAATTTATGTATAAACTTTTAAATTTATTAAAAAAAAATAGTGATTCATAAAACTGAATACAATCTTTGTACAATTCTTCTCTCATATTCCCTCCCTTTCATCGGTTGTTTGAGCTACCGGATAACTACCAACAAATGGTTGTAATCCAACACCAACCAATCACAAATTTTGGCTGACTGTGTGTGTGTGAATAAGTTATTGACATGGCGAGAGATGCATCAGCCATGTGCAATTTGTGTGCATTTCCATAAAACATGGCAATGGCATAATAACACCTACCTTTCAATTCAGCATCTTTATAGTTGACTTTATAACATGCTCTAATTTATTCTTAATTTCACAAATACAAATATAGCTGCTACTTGTGATGAGAGCTTAATTAAATTTCTTGATGAACAATCAAAGTCAATGCAGACAAGTTAGGAAGTTGCATGTTACTACTACCATTAATTAAATCAAATATTTAAACAATATACCCATAATTTAAGTAGACACATTATTATATGTGCCAATTGATTACTCCTCATACAAGTAATAGATAGTACGGATTAGTAAACCTTCTATCTATTTCTTTGATAGCATATCATTCAAATGCATGTTGTACATGATAGTACCACTAACGTACCACGGATCCTACAGAGGATCGAATGTGAAAATGAGAAAGTTTACACACAAAAAAGTCTCATAATAGAATATTAAACAATCCAAGACCAACCTTGCCTCTGTCCAAATGCATGTTACATACTTAATATTTTATTTACAATAGGAGAATAAATTTTTGGTCAATATAATACTTATTTTCCCAATAGTTTAATGAATTACAGTTAGTTGTTTGTTTCTATGGGCTAAAACCGCCTAACTGCACCTATAAATTCTCAAGAGCGACTGCCATCTTTACCAACAAAAGTAAAGCAATTCCTCCTTCAATTTGTCAGATACATAAAAATATGGAAAAATTCATTATCTGTGTTCATATATTGCTATTGAGTTTACTCACTTTAGAACTGAGAGTAGAATCTGCTATTTGGCAGCAAGCTCATGCAACTTTCTATGGTGGAAGTGATGCCTCGGGAACAATGGGTAAATTTCAACTTCTTTTTCATCATCTTTATCATAATAAGTATATAATAATAACTTCGTTTTGGTTTAACATGTAGGAGGTGCATGTGGGTATGGAAATCTGAACATAGATGGATATGGAATAAAAACAGCTGCATTGAGTACTGCTTTGTTTAATGATGGCAAATCATGTGGTGGATGCTATCAGATTGTTTGTGATGCAAGAAAGGTCCCTCAATGGTGTCTCAGAGGCACTTCCATCACTATTACTGCCACAAACTTCTGTCCACCTAACTTGGCACTCCCTAATGACAATGGTGGTTGGTGCAATCCCCCAAGACCACACTTTGATATGTCTCAACCTGCCTTTCAGACTATAGCCAAGTATAGAGCTGGAATTGTTCCCATCTTGTATAGAAGGTATGTTAAATTTGTGGTTAATTAATGTCATTTCATTCATTTGTAGCACCGACACATCTTATCAAAAATGTGTCTAGCGTCTGGCATATGTTAGTGTTTAACATCAACATAACGTATAAGTGTCTCTGTTATGATGATAACACTTGTGTGTAGATGAATTAAATATATAAATAAATGCATTATGGAAATATTTGTGCAGAGTTGGGTGCAGAAGAAGTGGAAACATAAGATTTAGTATAAATGGGAGAGATTATTTTGAGCTGGTGCTTATAAGCAACATAGGTGGAGGTGGAGAGATATCAAAAGTTTGGATAAAAGGGTCAAAAAAGAATAAATGGGAATCAATGTCAATGAATTGGGGTGCTAATTGGCAGAGTCTAAGTTATCTAAATGGTCAGAGTTTATCATTTAGAGTTCAACTCAAGAATGGAAAGACTCGTACAGCTATAAACGTTGCACCTTCCAATTGGAGATTTGGCCAGTCTTTCAAAAGTAATGTTCAGTTTTGATTCTAAACAAAATACTATCAGTTATGATATGTAGCACTTTTATTCTTGTGCATTCTCCTATTCTGGTCATTTATTTATCTAACAGTTGTAGTATATTGTGGTGATTTTGTGTAACGAATTATTCCAAGTAGTGGTGGCTCAGCAATCTGTTTTAGCATTTGCAATGAAGCCTGCCCACTTTGGTATAGTATTTGTGTATGTGATCAGAAGCATATTTTTATGATATTCTGCAGTTTATCTCGGACTATATATGTAACAATGTTGGAGTTATTTTTCTGTATCCAAACCACTTCTCTTCAGTATTATTAACTAAGAGCATGGTAGTTGTTATAAAGAAGTAGACTTCGATTGTCTTTGTTTTAAGAAAGAAGCAAATTTTTCTACTGCTGTTGTGAATAAAATACACTCTTGGTCTTTATATAGATCCAATGACTTTTACAATTCAAGAAAATATAAGTGCTACTAATAAAAACAATCATAACCTACTGACTTTTTGACCTTTCAAATTACATTGGTTCTTAATCTTCCTACTACCTTATTTAATATGAAAAACTCATTACTAATGACATTAAAGTTTACTCAACAAAACTCTTCTGTAAACTTAAATATTTCTTCCATCCAGCATTCCTATCATCTTCTTGCCTCTATCGAAGATCTCTTTCGATAGTGATTTTGTGAAAATATCCGCTGTTTGATTCTTGCTTGCTACATGCCTCAATTTACACTTCCTTCCTTCACATGTTCACGAATAAAGTGGAATCGAACATCAATGTGTTTGCTTCGTTCGTGATTCACTGGATTCTTTGTCAATTCGATAGCTGATTTATTGTCTACTTGTATTATTGTTGGACCTTCCTGTTTTAGCTCCATCTTGCTTATCAACCTTCTGAGCCATACTGCATGACAGACGCACTAGGATGTTGTCACATATTCAGCTTCACACGTTGAAAGTATTACTATAAGTTGCTTCTTCGATAACCAAGTAAATATTGTGTTTCCCATGAAGAACACATATCCAGAAGTGCTCTTTCGATCGTCTATGTCTCCGCACCAGTCACTGTCAGAATAACCAACTAACTTGTAGTCTTCTGTTTTTGAATAAAACATTTCAAGTGATACTGTTCCTTGGATGTACCTTAGAATTCGTTCCAGTGCCTTCCAATGTGTGTGTATTGGCTCCTCCATGAATCGACTTACAATGCCAACACTTAGTGAAATGTCTGGCCTTGTGCATGTGAGATATCGAAGGCTACCTACCAAGCTTCGATATTTGCTTCCTTCAACCTGTTCTCCTCCATCAAACTTTGACAGTTTTGCACCTGGTTCCATTGGCGTCGAAGTTGGATTGCAATTATTCATCTTATATTTTTTCAGGATTTCCTTTGCATATTTTTCTTGTGAGATAAAGATTCCAGTTTCTTCTTGTCAAACCTCCAGACCAAGAAAGAAACTCATCAGACCTAAGTCTGTCATTTCGAATTCACTTGTCATGGTGCTCCTGAAATCTTCTATCATCTGAGCATCACTTCCTAGAAAAATAAGATCATCAACATAGAGAGCAACAAGTAATACATTACTTCCATTTTTCTTCACATAGAGGGCATGTTCATAAGGACATTGCTCGAATCTATTCTCTTTGAAATATGTGTTAATGCATGTGTTTCATGCCCTAGGTGCTTGCTTCAACCCATACATCGCTTTCTTCAATTTCAACACCTTCTACTCTTCTCCAATTCTCATATACCCAAGTGGTTGTTCGATATATATTTCTTTTTCGAGCACACCATTCAAAAATTCTCTCTTGACATCCATTTGAAATATTGGCCATTTGAATTGAGCAGCTTGAGAAATGAGCAGTCGAATTGTCTCCATTCTTGCAATAGGCGCAAACACTTCATCATAGTCAATTCCCGCTTTCTGTTTGTATCCCTTCGCAACCAGTCGTGCTTTGAATCTTTCGATTTCTCCTTGATCATTCATCTTTTTCTTGAATACCCACTTTACACCAATGGGTTGACTACCTTTTGGCAGTTCGACTAGCTCCCAAGTATTGTTGCGTTCGATTGCTCTAATCTCTTCGTCCATGGCACTTTTCCACTTCTTATCTCGTAACGCTTCTTCGACACTGATGTTTTCAGCATCTTCCAGAAGGCACACAAGATGCACCTCACTTGTTGAATCATATAAATCTTGTAAACTTCTCATTCTGGGTTGTAGAGGTTCATCTTCAGTTTCTTCATGTTCTGTTGGAATACTTGTTGGTACAGCTGCAATTGTTTCTTCGACTGCGTCAATAACCTTTGTCGAATTGTTTCAGTCCCACTTGCTTGCTTTGTTTATTCGAACGTATCTACTCACGATAACTTTGTTGCTTATGGGGTCCAATAACTTGTACCCTTTTGTCTTCTCATCATATCCAATGAATATGTACTTCTGACTTTTGCCTTCAAGCTTTGTTCTTTGTTGATCTGGTACATGTGCATAAGCTCACTACCAAATACCTTGAGATGAGAAACTGTTGGCATATGTCCACTCCATGCTTCTTGTGGTGTTTTATCTTCTAACTTCGAATGTGGAGATCTATTATGAACATAAACAACACATTGTACTGCTTCTGCCCAGAATTCTTTCGACATGTTCTTGCTTTTGAGCATTGATCGAATTATGTCAAGAATAGTTCAATTCTTCCTTTCAGCCACACCATTTTACTGCGGTGAATATGGTGCAGTTAAGAATCTCCTTATGTTCTATTCTTCACAGTACCTCACAAAGGCCATCGAAGTATACTCACCTCCTCTGTCAGATCGAATTGCTTTGATGTGTCTGTCTGTTGCCTTCTCCACCATTACTTTGAACTTTTTGAACACCTCTAATGCTTCAGATTTTTCTTTCAGGAAGTAAACCCAGGTCTTTCTTGAGAATTCATCAATAAAATTAATGAAGTACCTTTTTCCACTGAAGGATTCTGGAGTGACTGACCCACATATGTCAATATGTATCAATTCGAGAATATGTTTAGCTTGATACTTTGCCTTCATTTGAAATGAGGTTCTTGTTTGTTTGCTGAGAACACATTCTTCACAGAACTTTCCTTCGAAATCCATGTCTGGTAGTCCATGCACCATGTTCCTTTTCGCCAACCTTCTCAAACCAGTATGATGTAGATGACCAAAGCGTATATGCCATAATGACGCTTTGTCTTGCACTTCGATTTGCAGACATTTCTCTCGAAAGTTCCTCAGGTTCAGTTTGTATATTCGATTTCTTTCCATTTCGACACGGGCAATCAGATATCCTACTCTGTCCTTCAAATGCAGCGTTCGATCTTTCATAAGTATCGAAACACCTTTTTCTGTAAGTTGTACCAGACTCAATATGTTGGTCTTGAGATCCGGTACATAGTAAACGTCTTCGATTGATCCAATCAAGCCATCCTTCTGCAAGTAACTAATTGTGCCCTTTCCTTCGACCTTCAATTTTGATGCATCTCTAAAAGACACATTACCATCTTTAATTCTCTTCATATCTTTAAACAGGTGTTTATAACCACACATGTGATTGCTTGCTCCTGAGTCAAGATACCAAACATTATCATTATTGGTGTTGATTTCGTTTTGAGCCATCTGGAGAAAGCCTTCATTCAATTCAGCTTCCAAGGCTAGGTTGGTTGTTTCTTCAATCTTCTTTTCGATTCGACAGTCTTTTGCAAGATGTCTCACTTTCTCACAGTTGTAACATTTGTAGGAGTTGCAATCCTTTGCGTAATGACCATACTTCCCACACTTGTAGCATTCAAAGTTGGAGTGATTCGAACGACCACCTCTTTGACCACATCCTCTGACACACCAATTTTGTTGGCTCGATTGTCCTCTTTCGAAGTTGCTACCTCTACCACTTTGACCACTGTCACGACCTCCACGTCCACGTCCTCTTCCATGAAAGTTTTGAGAAAAGAGTATCGTTTCGTCTTTGTTCGATTCCTTGGTTTGATTTGCTTCTTCGACTGCTTCTTCTTTCTTTTTCATCTTTCATTGTTCATGTGCTTCGAGAGAACCAGCGAGCTCTTTGACTGAGAGCGTCGAAAGGTCCTTCGACTGTTCTATTGCACACACAATATTCTCAAACTTGTCTGATAAAGATCTCAACATCTTTTCAACAACTCGTGCATCAGTTACTGTCTCTCCATTTCCGGTGAGTTGATTCACCATCTTTTGCACACGTGTGATGTAGTTAGATACAATTTCTGTATCCTTCATCTGCATCCTCTCCAATTCGCCACGAAGAGTTTGGAGTCGAACTTGCTTCACTCGATCTGCTCCTTTGAACATTTTTTCTAACGTGTCCCACGCTTGTTTTGACGTAGTCGAACCAATAATTTTTTCGAAGCCTGATTCATCTACAACCCCGAACAACATGTATAATGCCGTTTTGTCCTTCGATCGCGTCTCTTTCAACGCCTTCGTTTGAGCTGCCGTATATCCCCCAACTTCTGTTGGTTCTTCAAACCCTTCATGGGTCACATCCCATGCGTCTAAAGATCCAAGAAGAGCTTTCATTTGGATACTCCAGTTTTCATAATTTGACTTCGTTAGTCGTGGCAACGACATTTGATTCATCATGTTTGCCATGAGCTCGGATGCCAAATTCTTATAATGAAGTAGACTTTGATTGTCTTTGTTTTAAGAAAGAGGCCAACTTTTCTATTGCTGTTGTGAATAAAATACACTCTTGGTCTTTATATAGACCCAATGACTTTTACAATTTAAGAAAATATAATTGTTACTAATAAAAACAATCATAACCTACTGACTTTTTGACCTTCCAAATTACATTAGTTCTTAATCTTCCTACTACCTATTTAATATGAAAAACTCATTACTAATGACATTAAAATTTACTCAATAGTATTTACTTTGTTTAAGGTGAAGTTTAACTATTGTTCAATAACAAATCAGTATTATTAACTAGGAGTATGGTATTTGCTTTGTGTTGGCTATCTT